TCACCGCGCTGCCGGTGAAAAAGGGACGCGAGCTGGAAAGCTCTCGGAAGAGCGCGAAACCGTGAAGAAATCGTGCACGCGCGAGCTCGTAAAACGTTCGAAGGATCGTTGGCCGCCTCGAAACCTCGCCGTTTCTTTTCCCCTTAAATATTTATTATTCCGCCACGCTTTGACTTTTTCCCCGACTTCTCCTCCTTTTTTGTCGCGTCGGGAAAAATATTTCGCCAGATTTCTTCTTCTTCTTTCGTAAACGAAAATCCTCACTAGGCTAGAAACGCGCTTCGATATCGATGCGCTTCGTCTCTGGCACGAGAGAGGGAAGGCTCGTTTTCATCCCCTATTTTTTCCACCAATTTCTCCTCTATTCCAGTTCGCGAGGTCGTCGATTCCTAGTCAGTTAGGACGATGAGAAATTCTTGGCGAGATCGGGAACGAGACGATCTCCCATCGGTTCGAGATCACGATCGAGGAAATATATTTAAACGGGTCGGACGTAAGCGGTTATATCGGCGTGATTACCGCGAAAGCACGTCGGCATCGTAGCTGGCGATCCGCGCATAGCTGACCTACATACACGCGTACTTGGATCGAGTAGATAGGAGCGCGGCAGAGAGAGAGAGAGATTCGTATCGCGATCACGATCCCGGACGCGGGCTACTTTCGCGCGCCACGACCCATCTCCCACTTATCGTCTATCGCCGCTATTTATTTTTCATCCAGATCGGTAAGCCACGCGACATAAACGCGTATCGATGCGCGTGTTTCGATCCACCAATTTTTTCCATCAAGACCTCTTCTTCCTTTCCTTTCTTCGTATCGATCCGGATTCCTGGTTCCGGAGGGGTCGATCGGTCAACGCCTGGTTAAACGACCCGTAATCGATGAGAATTCTCGAAATAAACGTACGCGGTTATACGTATTTAATGGAAACGGTGGGGAAAAAATAGAGAGAGAGGGGGAAGGGAAAAAAAAAGGATCGAGCGAGCCAGACAGTCAGCTCGTTTCCAACGACACGGAATAATTCACGAGAAACTGGTAACGCGCGGCTAGGTTACGATTCGTCGGGGTATTCGTGGCAATAATTAACGGGGCTCTCGAGCCGAGCGTAAATAAAAGTTTGGGAAAACGCGCGAGGGATCGATCGGCGCATGTGCCGGATAAAGGGGTTGGCCCCGCCGTGTAATTTTTATCACCGTCCGTTTCGCTCGATATCATTTCTTCCTTCATCGATCCGCGTCGATCCGTTCGAGGATGGTACCTACTAATAAATAATACGTGTGTACGAGAATTTGGCGACGAATCGGTGTTCGAGCAGTAAGGTACGAGCGGTCTACGTAGAGGAGCGTGAATGTCGAGTAGGAATAGGGCTGAGGGAAAAATTAAAAAAAGACGGGGCACCGCGCGATGGTGTTTCGTTCACGGAAAGAAACGAGTTCGATTAAATTTCCGAGGTCGAAAATAAACGGGACGGGAGGGGAGGAAGGAGGAATCGATGGTTCCGACCTGGATTAATTTTGCGGAATCGGCGGCCGTGAGTCCGAAATCACGTTTAACGTTCGAACGTTGGGACGTACGATTGCGGATGGACGCGGTCAAGAGGATCTCTCTCTCTCTCTCTCCCTCTCTCTTTCTCTCTCTCCGGGGAATCGTGATCTACGACGGTGGCGTGGTCGGTGGAGACACGGGCTACCTACCTACCTACCTACCTACCTACCCATCTCTACGAAACTCGTGACTTTGCGCTACCGATTCGAAGCGAAATACCGAGAGATCTGTTTCTTTCTTCCGAACGATCGATGCGATACGTCGCACGTTGATAATGGGATAATCGGGAGGGAGAAGGGGCTCTGATTGGACGAGAGGATTTTGCGAGCGGGCCGCAATCGAGTTTCCTTACGTGGTGGAACGCGGGACGAAAGTTCTTCTCACCGATTGGCCCCTAAAATCGTGCCCCATTGTGAATATAATGGGGGCGCATAGCTCGGCTATAGTGTGACCGACCGATTGGAATCGAGTCGTCTCGAAAAGCAAGGGTTCAGAGAGATTTCAATTGTCCACG